CAAAATTTCTCCTTGACTTTTGTCCACCCTTTCTGTCTTCAGAGGTCTTTCAATTTTCGTTCAGTTAATTTCTTAATGAGATTTTAAAATATTTTTTATTGGAAAATAATTTACATGCATAAAATTGCATATATCAATTGTAAATTACTATAACCATTATGTAATTCTACATGGAAGTTCCTCAAAAGACTAGGCATGAAACCATCGTATGACCTAGCTATACCACTCCTTAGTAGTTATCCTAAAGAATTAAAGTAAGCATACTATAGCAATATAGGCATATCTGTGTTTATAGCAGCACAATTCACACAATAGCCAAACTATGGAACCAGCCTACGTGTCCATCAACAGATGCATGGATTAAGAAAATGTGGTATATACACCCAAATGAATTTTATTCCACCATGAAGAAGAAGGAAATTATGAGTGGAACTTGAGAACACTATTAAGTGAAACAAACTCAGAAATTCAAGGGTAATATGTCTTTTCTCATATGCAGAAGTTACAGAGGAAAAAGGAAAAGAAAGGTGTGTGTGTGGAAATCCTGTGAAAATTAAAGAGAAATCAGTAGAGTAGAGGAAAGGGATGGGGGGAGGGAGAAGGAAAGGGGAAGGGGAAATACTGGTGAATGATATTGATCAAGTTATGTAGTTATATTGTGTACTTATATGAATATGTAACAATGAATCCTACTAAATGTAATTGTAATGTACCAATAAAAATATGGAAACAAACAAATTGCACATATCATAAGTGAAGCACAAATAATCAGTGAGTTTTCAGAGATTAAACACACTTATAAATTACCATTTAGATCAAGGAATAGACTTCTAGTATGTATAAAGTCTTTTTTGTTTCTTCTTAGTCATTATCCAAGAAGTCTACATTAGATTTTATCAATATCAATTAGTTCTCATTTTTTCTGCTTTATCTGAAAGTAATCTTATATTATGTTCTTTGAGTTTGAATTCTCTTGCTCAATACTGTATTTGTAACTTTTATCATATTGTGTATGATTGTGGATTGTTATTCTTCTTTTATGTAAATATATCACAGTTTATTCATTCTCCCATTCTTTTTTTTAAAAAAATATTTATTTTTTAGTGGTAGTTGGACACAATACCTTTATTTTACTTATTTATTTTTATGTGGTGCTGAGGATTGAACCCAGGATCTTGCATGTGCTAGGCGAGTGTTCTACCGCTGAGCCACAACCCCAGCCCCCCATTCTCCCATTCTTGATAGGCATTTGAATTGTTTCCAATGTTTGGCTATCATGAACAATGCTACTATGAACATCTCTTTGTAAATAAAGCTTGATTTTATTTTTGCTATATAATCAGAATTGTAATTGTTGAGTCATAAGACTTGCATATGCTCAACTTTTTAAGTGCCACCAAATATTTTTCCAATGTGGTTGTACCACTTATATAAGAGTGTGTGAGAGCTCCAATCACTCCACATCCTTTCCAATACTTGACATTTTAGCTCAAGGGGATCTTGAAGGAAAGCCGGGAAATGAATTATGAACAAATATTATCCAGTTGCTATATAAACCAGAGGCTTTACCCAGCAGTTTTGGCCAAGGTTTGTTCCACTCTTGCTCTTTCATCTGTTCTTTTGTGTGTTTTTTTTTTTTTTTTGATGAATAGTTTTTGTCTGCCTTTGAAGAAATGGCAAAAAAGTTTGGGTCTGCATTGTGTTCAGAAAAATTTTAAACAAAAGACAAGATGTGTAAATTTCAACCATTGTATGTGTAAGAGTCACCTGGACCTTTTCTTAATATATATGGCTAACTTTTAATTCAAGTGTCCTGAATCAGGATGTCTGAGGAAGGAATCTAGCCATCTGTATTTTCAAATCAATTGTAGGGTGATTCTAATGCACACCAAAGTTTGACAACCAATGAATGAGGCCACTGACTACTCAACAAAAATTGGGCTAAATGCCTTTGTTTTATTTAGATAAATAATTTAGTCTGCTTATTTAGACTTGGATTTTCCCAAGGAAATAACAGTGCTGGTAATGTTGAGAATAGAAAAACATCATAAAGCACCCTTGTCATTGTTTGGATATGAGGTGTTCCCCATGAATGGAGCAGTGCTCTTCCACCATGTCCATCATGTCTTTCTGCCATGATGTTCTGTCTCACTTTGGGCCTAGAGCAATGGAGTTAATCCACCATAAATTAAGCCTCTGAAACTGTGAGCTAAAATAAACTTTTCCTCTTCTAAGTTGTTCTTTTCATATATTTTAGTCACAGTGATGAAAAGCTAATACACATGTGATTAGTCTACATTGAATAGAAATGATCAATTTCAAGTCACTCATCAAACATTCATTGAGCCGTTACTGTGTGCCAAGTGTTGGATCCAGTACTGGATATAAAATGATGTAAAAAAAAAAGTGCATCTGTCAGAATAGACTAGATTCCACTAATACGAACCATCTCCAAAATCTCAGTGGTTTAAAGCAAGCTTTACTTCTTGCTCACATTACATAAACACTATAGTTTGTCTTGGAACTTTTGCTCCATATAGTCCTTTTTCTTGGATCTAGGCTGGAGCTGCCACTCTGGAGTGTTATTAGTCACCGTGGAAGAAAAAGCATATGGAAAATTGCACACCACTTCTGAAAGCACCTGTTTGGAAACAATGCAGATTAATTTCACCCATATTTTTTTGCCTAAAGCAAGTTACATGATCACATCTACCTTTTAGCTTAGGGGGAAATACAATTTCACCAAATATTCCAAAAAAGGAAAGCCAAAATATTTGAGGACCAAAAAGAGTGACTTCAGCAATGTCTATGCCCTTGAGGATTTCACTTTATAGCATGAGAATTAGGACATATAGAAATAGCTGCAATAGAAATTGCTATATGCTGTGATAGAGCTCTACATAAAATTGTTAATAATCAAGAGCAAAAATCTGTTATTTATTCCCATGGTGGTAGACTAAAATGATTACAATGACAAGTTGATATTTGAGTTTCATCTTGAAAAATATACATGTGGAAGGGAGCATGGAGTAAGGAAAAAGTATCCTAGGCTGCCGCAGTCCAGCTACAGCGAAATAACCGGGGGTGACGAACAACTTGTGTACATCGATACAGCAGGAGTAGGAGCCATTTATTGTAGGACAGGAGGGGTATATATACATTATACACAGCTTATCTTAATTAACATAAACTCGATACAGCAGTCAACCAATAAGGAATCTCTATACTTAATGGCTCGCTGGCGTTACTTCACAAACCACTCTCTCTGGCAAAATGCCAGGCGCCATCCAGACTTGTTTATAGACCCTAACACTAGGCAGAGAAGATATCTTGAAAAATCATGTCCAAGTCTTAGGAACTTGGATATGAATATTGCAGAAGACATAGTAGATATTAGGGATTGATAATGAACAAGATAGATATAGTTCTTCTACTGTGGAATATATATTCCAGGAGACTATATAGACACTAGGCAGATATAGAGGATTACAATTTAATAAGTAATTTTGATAAGTGCTTTGAAAAAGAAGCACTGTGTGGTTGGAGAAGTAAACTATAAGAATTTCACCCAGTCTGAGAGATTAGGGAAGATAGCTCACAGGCCAAGAATGTGTGTGCTTATGTCAGGGGACATATTCCAGAACAAAATATCAACATGTGCAAAAGTTTTGAGAATGGGAGAAATATGGCATTTAGTGCCAGAACATCAGACATATGTGGGCATGGCATAGGCACTTTGTAAAACTCACTTTGCTCTCAGTGTAAAAAATAGATGAAAGTGGTTCAAGAATGGATATAAGACCAGTCAGGAGTTAGTTGTTTATTTAAGGGTCTCTAGGAAGAAAGTAAGAACCTGATGAAGGGGTACACCATCCCAGAAACTTCACAAAGTGTTGATCACTAAGTTGTGTTAAAACATACATGTGAATGCATCAACATGGAGAATACTGTAATTAAATCTCTCCTTGGGGAGAATGCTCATATGGTTTGATAATCTACTGGAGGTAAGAGCGAATCGCTCTCAGCCATCTACCAATAAGGAACCTGTTGCAGTGTTAATTGATAGTTGTCATATAAGAAGGAGAATAATGAGCCCTTTTGCTTTGCTGGGTGGGGCTAGAATTGAATTGCATTTGAAAAAAGAAAAGAAGTAATGTTGTTTTCCACTTCCCCTGTAGGCCTCTGCCATCTTCTCAACAAATATTTGACAAATACTTAAAGAATGTCTAAGGATAGGATGTTACTCAATGGGTAGAACCCTTGTCTAACAGGTGTGAGGCCCTGGGTTTAATACCCAGCAATAAAAGAAAATTATTTTGATGAGTATCAAATTATAAGCTATTAAGAAATGCATATAGTGATTGATCTCACTTTGGGATAGAATGGTGACCATGGAGAAGATGAGAAGTGGGCATAACTGTCACACATGTTGAATATGATCTAACTTAGTGATAAATTAAAGAGGGACACAAGAAGGAGTGGGAGGTATGACTCCTATATGTCTGTATGAAAATAAGAGGCATATAAAAATTTCCTCCAGTCCTGGGGATCAAAACCAGGGCCCCATACATGGTAGGCAAGTGCTCTACCACTGAACTACAATTCTAGCACTAAAAGTAATTAAAAAAAACCAATTTGATATATGTATTAGTTATTATTATTATTATCACTGTGATCAAAATGCCTGAAACAAACAACTTGGAGGAGAAAAGGTTTATTTTGGCTCATAGTTTCAGAAGTTTCACTTCATGGTTTGCTGGCTCCATTGCTGTGGGCCTGAGGTTAGGCAGATCATTATAGTGAAAGAGGGTGGCAGAGGAACACTGCTTATCTGCTTAACTGCAGCTGGGAAGAGGGGAGGGAGGGAGAGAAGAGAGTGAAATAGAGAGAGTGGGAGGAGAAAGGAACCAGCGACAAGATACAGGATGTGACCTACTGACCTTCTTCCTTCAACCATGCCCTACTTGCCTACAGTTTTCACCACCTCACAGTAGTCTATTCAATTATGGATGAGTTAATTCACTGATGAGTTCATAGCCCTCATGATCCAATCATTTCCTAAAGTCTCTACCTCTGAACATTTCTGCATTGGGAACGGAAGCCTTCAACATGTAAGTCTTTGGAGGACACTTTATGTCCAGGTCATAACAATAGATAATATACATCAAAGGAATTTTAATTTTTAGAGGTCTTGATGGAATATCAGTAGAGAAAAGGTGGAGTTTTGAATTAATTTTGAGAGAGAGAGAGAGAGAGAGAGAGAGAGAGAGAGAGAGAAAAGAAGAAAAGAGAAGAGAAGAAAGGTAGAGAAACAAAATAGAGATTGAGACATACTTTTAAGAGCCCATAAGGGATGTTATTGTGTTTGTTGTGAAAGACTTTTTTTTTTTTTATTCAGTCCTATTATTTTCTAGTACTTTTATACTAATTTGATTTATTTTGCTATGAATTATGTTCACTTGATTTAGGGTCAAGGTTGGTGGTTCTCATTTTGTCTTAATTTAATCTCTTTTCTATTTATTTATCTTTTTGATTGACTTGAATTTGTCTAATCCATTTTTTTTTTTACTTATGCTTTTGGATTGATTGGAATTTATCTACCTGATTTGAACTTGACCCCTAGTTAATGTTATCTGAATGGATTATTTTTTAAGACACTGGTGACTAGGAGATTTGTTCTCTTCTATTTTACCAGGACGAAGCACATAGGAGGAAATAAAAAAAATACTTATTGAATGACTAATGAACAACAGATTGTGACTATGCTTTGTTAATTTCAATTTTGTTTGTTGAAACTGAAATGTTTGTATAGTAAGTCTTTGCACTTGGTTTTAGGTGTTTTACTTTTGTTGTTTGAACTCAATTCCTACTTCTAACCTTGCAATTCTAAGTAAATGAATTTCCTTCTTCTAGTCCTCTCAAAGCAATAATCCAAACCATGAGATACTTAGTCCTTTCTAATCTAACCATTGGTAATAGCTAATATCACCTTTTTTTTTTTTTAAATACAAATCATCTTGAATTGTTTGAAACTTCAGATTGCTAAGGAGAGCCGGTTGTTTTAAGCTTGATCATGATTGATTAGGTTTTTTTTTTGATTGTTTTTTCTGGGGAACTATGGGATTAATAATTCTAACACATTAACCTGATTAAGTACCCAAAGAATTTTCACTCAACACAGACAGGGAAAATGTTAGATTTAATTATTTTGGGAAAGAACGGCTACTCCTTTGAATCCATGGGTCTTGTCCAATTCTGGTGATTTGGTGTTTAATATATACAAGGTCAGATGAGGCTTTGACTAGTCTGCTATCTTTCTTTTCTCATTCCAAGAATAATTCATTTATTGACAAAGTGGAAGCAGTTCTCTGATAGTGTCAGCCTATGGTTACTGGAATCTGTGTTGTTTCCTGTCACATTTGCATGGAGCAGCCAGAGCATACTGAGACATGTGCTACCTCATTTTCTGGCCTTACCTCATTGAGCCAGCAGAGAATTGATTTCTCTGGTCTTCTTTAATGGTCTCTTGGCAGAGAGTTAATTTTTTTAACTCTATTCAACAAATATTTATTTAATTATTTTTTTACTTTTTTATTTGTTTTTTTTTTTAGATATATGTGTCAGTAGAGTGTATTTTGATATATCATACATGCATTGAGTGTAACTTATTATAATCAGAATCCCATTCTTGTGTTTGAACATGATGTGGAGTTACACTGGTTATATATTCATATATGACCATAGGAAAGTTATATCTGATTCATTCTGTCTTTCCTATTCCCCTCCCCACTCCTCCTTTATTGTCCTTTGTCTAATCTAATGAACTTCTATTCTATTCCAGCCCCTCCTCCCCCATTGTGGGTTAGCATCTGCATATCAGAGAGAACATCTGGCCTTTAGTTTTCCGGGATTGGCTTTCAGCAAATATTTATTAAGCACCTACTATGTGATAGACATTATTCTGGGTTCTGCAGATACAATTTGCATTCTAGGGAAATGACACAGATGACAAATAAATAAAATTTGTAGTGTGTTCTTAGAGTGTGGTAAATGTCATGGAGAAAGTAAATCAGAAAAGAGGTTGTGTGTGCTGGGGCATTTAATTTTTACATCGTATTGTTGGTGGGGAGAAACTCACTGAGAATGGTGACATTTGCACAAAGATCTCAAATAGGTGAGGGAGTGAGTAATTGAATTATTTTTTAGTAATTTTCTTAATTAAGTGGCTATTGATTTGGAAAAAATCATTTGGATTTTATTCAATTTAGAAGAATGTGCAACATTTTTTATAGTAACATTTTTTTTTTCTTTTGGTACTGCAGATTGAACCCAGAGATGCTTTACCACTGAGCTATATCCATTTTATTTCTTATTTTTATTTTAAGACAGGCTCTTTGCTTAGGGCCTTCCTAAATTGCTGAGCCTGGTCTCGAACTTAAAATCCTCCTGTTACAGCCTTCTGAGTCACTAGGAATATAGGCATGTGCCACAGTGCCTAGCTAGTGACAAACATCTTTAAGGACATTTGTTAGATGCAGCTTTTTAGTTATATGGATATTAAAATTATAAAAGAGCCTTTTAAGAAATGTCATTAGAGTTAATACCTCATTGAGAAGAAATATCTCACTGGCCACACAAGGGAGGAAAATGTGGAATGTTTTAGAGATCAGTTAGGGGCAATAATTTTTGTCCCTCAAGATTTTCATTAAAGACACAATTTACAGACTAGGGAAGTCATTGGTTTCAAGGAGGATTATTTTATGAATTATTCTGATTTTAAGATTTTAACTCAAAAAGTCAAATAGTCTCAAATATTTAATGTCAAGGGGGTAAATAAGTTTTCTGACATTATATAGATGATGGCTTTTTATAAGAATAGGAAAGGTTTTTGATTTATAGATATAAGACATTGTTCATGGAGTACTGATATATCTACACTATACAGGTGATTTAATAAAAACAAATTATCAGTAGTTATCTTCAAATTGATTGCTGTCTGTTTTAGTTAGCTATTTTGCTGCTGCGACTAAAAAACCTAACCAGAACAAATGTATAGGAGGAAAAGTTTATTTGGGGACTTATGGTTTTAGAGGTCTCAATCCATACACAGTCCTCTCCATTACTTAGGGCTCCAGGTGAGGTAGAAATAACATGGTAGAAGAGTGTGACAGAGGAAAGCAGTTCATGTGGTGATCAGAAAGCAGAGAGAGACTTCTCCACATACAAAATGTATACCCCATAATCACGCCCCCAGTGAACTACTTCCTCTAGTCACACCCCACCTGCCTCCATTTACTACTCAGTTAATCTCATCAGGGATTAATCCACTAAACTTTCTCCTCTAAACCTTCTTGCATTGTCTCACATGTGAGCTTTTGGGGGCCACCACATCTAAACCATAACAAAGTCTGCAAATACTTTGTATGAGAAATATCCTTGAAAAAGGAATTTGAAGACTTTCTCATCAATTTCATAGTTGAGAAGAGCCTTGGAGATAATCTGGGTCAATCTTCTATTCTATGTGTCATGAAATTTGCATCCTGTTATTTCCTTGAGGTACCACAGCCATGACTATTCACATATAATAAAATGCATGTAGTCCCCTTCTAAGACTTGAAAGGTAAAACAAAGATAAAAACAAAGTTTATGAATTCCTGCTCCCACAGCTTCAAAGAAGTACTGCCTGTGGCTATCCAAGAAAATGAATTATCTTCTGACCACGTATATTAGTTAGGAAAGGTCAAACTGTGCTGTGGTAACAAGCAAGACTCCAATTCTCAATTTCAATGCAACATGGGGTTTTGTTTTACTTCTGGGAAGAATTTCTGGTGAATAGTTTTCCATGTGTTAACTCAGAGATTTAAGCTACTTGGAACCCCTCTATGTAAGTCTTGTCATACAGACTACAAAATCATGCATAGGATTTTCACTACCCCAGGCTGGAACTGATATATCCCACTGATTAAAACTATAGTCAACTGCAAGGGACTGAGAGGTATGTTCTTCTTATAACAATAAGTAAGGACATTGTGATGGTTAATTTTATGTGTCAACTTGACCAGGCTAAGGGATGACCAGACAGCTGGTGAAACATCCTATCTGGGTGTGTTGGTGAGGTGTTTTTGGAAAATATTAGGAATTGAGTTAGTTGAATGAGTAATGATGCACCAATGTGGTTGGTCTTCATTCCATCTTTGAAGGCATGAATGGAACAAAAAGGTGGAGGAAGGGTGAATTATTTCTCTCTGCTGTGGGCCTTTGGACTTGGACCAAATCACACCATTTGCTTTTCTGGTTCTCCAACTAGTAGATGGCAGATTGTGGAACTTCTTGACTTCCATGGTCCTCTTAGCCATTTCCTAAAATAAATTTCAAACTTGTACGGATGTCTGTATCACCTATATCTGTATTATATCACCTATATATATATTCTTTCTATCTGTCTATCTATCTATCTATCTATCTATCTATCTATCTATCTATCTATCTATCTCCTGGTAGTTCTGTTTCCCTGACAAATTCAGGGAAAAATACTAGATATTACAGAGACACTAGTAATGTCTATTGTACCTTGAATCTTCTCTTGGATATTTCAATAATTTAATGTTTGATGTTGCAGTAAGAGCAATTATGAAATATTTTAGCAACTGTTCTCACTCTTTTACATTAATTACTGCATATAATCCTCAGAACAGTTCTGTGAAGGACGACAAATAAAAGGGTAATAGGAAAGAGACCCCAAAACAAAAATAGTATAAGCCTTTGTAGGATCTGTATTAGGATGTCCTAGAGCATCTTTATGTGTGCACTGGGGACTATCAGTGCCATATCAGTTTGGCCAATTTTAATCAGTACTTATGGAATATGTGTTATTAATCAAGTACAGGGTTAGCGTCTTAGGTTTCATGGTTTCCGAGAAGCTGGTTAGAGTCTTGGTCAAGCAGAAGCTGAGTTAGTGGTCTGGGCTTACTTGTCTGAAGAATCTGCTTAACTGAAGGACTGTTTTTGGCTCTTTATTTGGAGTGAGAATTTACATTCTGATCTACTGAGCTGAGAAATCTCTCCTAGCTCATAGTTCTGTTTGATCCCGTATCTTTCTTGGGAACTTCTTAGTTGACTGGTACACCTTTTTTGAACCCTTCATATTTTATGCTCCACTCAATCTGTCCATCTTCTTTTTCTTGGTATAATTTTATATAGAACAACTTGGAACTTAAGTAATTTCTTCAAGAAACTTAAAGTCTCCCTGACTGGCTCCTCTAAGAACTCTCTCTTCCCATCACCTCTGTCCCTCCTTCCTCCTTTTTCACCATTATCTTTCTTCAGCTCCTGTGACATTTCTGCCTTCATGTTCCACCTCCCTCACCAGCCTGTGCGTCCTTGACAGATTTCTTGCTTCATACTCTTTATTACTTGAACTTTCGGCTCCTGACTCCTTCCAAGCTCTTAACGGACTCAGGGACCACCCCCCCCCCCCCCCCCCCCCCCCCCCCCCCCCCCCCCCCCCCC